TGGAACTGGTGCCTTATCTGTGGCATCCACATAAATGCATGCCACCTCCCTGGCACCCCATATACCACTGCCAACGTGATAAGCAGAGCCCTACCACAGGACCACAAGTGGGAGATCAAATACTTTGTCCTTACAATGATATTTACACAGTGGGGATATTCCTGGATAGACCTCTTTGGCATCAGGGCAAACAAAAAGGGCTCCTTTTACCTGCTCCAGGGTGGACACTGGAAAAGAATCTTTGGGAGATGCCTTTATCCTCATGTGGGATCATCACCTACTCTGTGCATTCCTTCAAATTCCCCTCCTCAACAGAACACTTACGAAAAGACAGAGGGACAGGGCGAGAGTCATCCTCATTGCCCCCTGTTGGCCTCAGCAACTGTGGTTTCTTCTTCAAGCATTATCCCCATGGGTGCTCCACTGTAGGTATCAGGCTCTTTCTGGGGTTGCAGGTTGGAGAATCGTTAGCAGTAGTCTGCAGGACTGCGCATGCACATCTTCTGTCTCATGCCGGTCGTGCCATTTCTGAGCGCACGCAGTCCTGCTCCCACCAGTTCATCCTAACCATCCTCGGTTGCAGGCAGCGTGAACTTCCTCTCCTCAGGTTTTCCTATGAAGAAATCAAAGTTAGATAGTTAGTTGTTGTTGTAGTTCGTTTACATAGTTCCGACTTCTTAAAAAAACCAACAACACACTGTCACTTCAGTATTCTGGGACCTCCTGGATTCAAGAAATGCAGCTCATGTAGGGAGCTTGTGCCTGCCTCCGACAGGCACTCCTTTTGTGTTAAGTGTCTTGGTGAGGGGCATATTCCCCAGAAATGCCCTCACTGCTCTAAGCTTACAGTGCAGGCTAGATGCGAGAGGGAGATGAGGCTGAAAATGCTCCTATTCAGTAGAGCATTACAGCCAACAAAAACAGATTCCTCCCAACAAGACAAACCCTCGGAGCCCAACAAGTGCCGGGCACTCTCTCTGGCCCAGACAAAGAGGAGGCCTTCACCTTCTTGTTCATTGCTGCCCATACGGGAGAAAAACCCGGGACTTCAGGCATGGCTTCTGTGCGCCGCTCTGATAAGCAAAAGTCGTCCTGGAGCATATTGGCACTGGTGCCTCCAAGGGTGCATAGAGTGGCACCGACTATTGACTGGGCACCAACTACTCCTGTGGTGCCTAGACACCAGGAGGCACTGGCCCCATTGGCACCGGCCCCTTTGGCACTGGGGATCTCGGCGCCGCAAACTATACCCGTTTCAGCACCACGAACAGCATATACGTGCTCTGTATCAGTGTCCTTGCAGGAGCATTCGCCGCAGATGACTAAGGCAAAACAAAAGTCTTAGAGGGTAATTACTCCCTCCCTTGAATGTTCCACCGTTTCGCCGGTACTGCCATCACCATAATCGGTTTTGTCAATCCACTTCACGGATGAGCGTGGATTCTACTCCCCCAGGTTGCACTATTCACCGAGGCGAGAACCCGCCTCTCCACATGATTACTGCCGACACTGCCATGTGTCTTTATTGCCCCAACCTTCAAGGGCCATGTCTTGATTGCTTAGATCCCTCTCACGATTGTTTTATTCACAATAGCACCACATGCATGATAGAAGATACTTTCCATGATATTCCCCTTCATATTCAAGATGATGGTTACTATGCTCATAGTGATTACTGCTGCCGCTGTTCATACTCTAGAGCAGGGGTCTCCAAACTTTTCAGCCCGAGGGCCGCATTAACTATCAAACAGCAGTTCGGGGGCCGACTACACACTTGAGGTCCAAATAAAAAACAATCAAAACATGGATGTTGTTTTTAATTATTTATTTAATATTATTTTATTCAGTTATTATTTAATAACACATTCATACACTACACATGAACACCTGTATTAGTGTGAATGGTGAAATTGTTTCCTGGATGCCAAAATAGCAGACATTTCTGGCTTTAGATTTGTTGTCCCTAACATCAACAGTGACCTGAGATTATCATCGGACAAGTTTGTTCTCAAATTGTTCTTCACGTATTTCATTCTTGAAAATGTTTGTTCACACAGGTATGTTGTTCCAAAGATTGAAAGGTACCTTGATGCAAAAGTTTTGACATTAGGAAAGTCTTCCTTGGGCAAAAACTGGTAAAAACCCACCAGTCCTATTTTGAACTTGTCCCTAAGGAGGTCATTTGCTTGCAACTCAATGACTTCCAGCTGCAGTTCATCTGGGCAACTGGCCACATCTGCTTCAAATGGGTTTTGAAACAATCTCACTTCTTCTGCCTTTGAATCCAAAAAGGTCTCCACGGGCCGGATGAGAGGGCCTCGCGGGCTGCATCCGGCCCCCGGGCCGTAGTTTGGAGACCCCTGCTCTAGAGAGTGATCCCCACATGGCCACCAACCACATGTGGAAGTGGAGAAAGCCAACTCTCTTACACCTCTCAGCACTAGACCTCTCAGTCCTTCTGGGAATGTGCATATGCCGGCATCTCAGGACCCTGAACTGGAGTTAGGCCAAATATCTGACCAAGATCAACCTCAGGACATATCAACCACTGACCCATTCTCTTTGCCTGCTGACAATGCAGTATTTCCAGGAGATTCGTCACCCACGGATGACATCTGTCAGTTCCAGGAACTGTTCAAACGGATGGCTGATAGCCAAGAGGTGCAACTCACTGAGGTCCAGCAGAAACAACGTTGTCTGCTTAAAAACCTTCAGCCATCACAAAAGTCTAAGGTTGCTCTCCCTCTTGATGAGGTAATCTTAGAAGTAGCAGATGACATCTGGCAAACGCCCACAACCAATAAGATGGCTGACAAAAAATACTTTGTTCCCTCCAAAGGAATGGACTTTTTGTACACATCTGCATCCAAATTTTTTAGTAGTTGATGCTGCTCAACATAGGGGCAAGGCCCCTCAATACAAGAACACAGCCAAGGACAGGGACAGTAAACGCTTAGGGGAACCCTTATTATAGACCTTTTTGCTACATATCTCAACGCAAAGTGTCAACACTATTGCTCCAGAGCGGGCATAGGACCGTGTTCCCTAGGGGATGCCTTCCTAATCAACTGGAACTGGCACCTCCTGTACACTTTTCCTCCAACTCCTCTACTTCCAAGAGTCCTAGAGAAAGTAACCAGAGACAGGGCCACAGTTATACTTGTAACCCCTTTCTGGCCATGCCAAACATGGCTCCCGTACCTTTTCTGGGTATCCCCATACTCTCCATTTCACCTTCCCAATCAGCACATTCTACTGATGCAGGACCAGGGAACCTTAATACACCGTCTGCCCAACTGCCTCTATCTCACGATGTGGCTCCTAATTGGTTCCAACAAGCAGAGATGACTTGTTTCCAAGATATAAATCAGGTCCTGATACATAGCAGGCAATCCTTGACTCAATCAACTTATCTTCAGAAACGGCGTTGTTTTCATTCATGGTGTTCGCACAACAACCTGGATCTGTCATCCGCCCCACTACATTGGATCCTAGACTACACTCTTGATCTCAAATGCATGGGTCTCGCGCTCTCCAATTAAAATCCATCTGGCCACGATCACAGCCTTCCGACTGTTACTAGCACAGGCGCACTAGCAAACTAAATTTAATGGGCCTTGTCTTAAATGACGTTAAATGCCTTTGTCCCAGAAGATGGTCCGCCCTGGAAACTACTGTATCTAATCACTGGCGGGTTTCTCATCTCCGAAATGAAGCACAGACACAAATGTCAAATTTAAGAATATATTGTAAAGTATAACAGGTAACAGGTAAATTAAAATCATGGATTACAAACACTGAAAAAATTAACCAACCCCTCACCCACTGATATAATAGAAAATAGAATAGGTAAATGAAACAGGCTGTACTCAGTTTGTCAGAGGCTCTGGTGGTTTTGAAGCTCAGGACCTTCTACCTTTTAGCTGCTGTTAGCATTAGGGCAGGACCACTGACTGAAGCATCCTGAACTCCGGTATGTTAGCGATGGTATGGCGGAACAGTTCAGTTCTTTGCTTAGTCCCTGCTTTCGCAACAGACCAGTATACTGTTCACAGAAGGCAAGCTGAACAGTTCCCGGTGCTGTAGAGGGCCTTCGCCACAGCATGCAAATGGAGAACAAGACTCCGTGGTGTCACGATCTGATGGTCTGGAGAGCAGGTAGCTGGGGTTCACATTGCTGAGCAATTGCCACAGCTATGGAGCGGAGCGCCCTGTTGGCGGCAGTGGAGTTAGGTCTGGTCGGTCACTAGACTGGTCCTGGCCTTCACCACAGTCTCCAGATGATGGAACGACTCTCCTCCAGGGTGGAACAGGAAACTGCCAACCTGATCTCCTCACGAATCCAGATTATATAGAACCCAAGGCGGGAAAATACTGAAGGTCCCGAGTGCAAAAGGCAAAGTGTAACAAGTGCAAAACTTTGGGGTCTTGTGCAGATTCAGCGCCGTGTGCAGCTTGATGGTGCCGTGAACATGGCCACGTGCTATGTGCAAAGATGGTGTTTTGGCGGCAAAGTCACTTGGGTTCCATCTTGAATTCTTTCTCAATCCACAGACTCCATTTTGATTTTATAATGTCCATGAAGCTAACACAATCCCGTCGACAGCTACTCAATCTTCACTCCTCCAATTACTAGAAGATTAACAAAAGGGTTAACGAACCTCTTTTACCTCGAACCTTTGGCCACATGTGATTTGCCAACCCTAACTATGAGGATTTCCTTCTTGTTAGCAATAACTTCAGCACGGAGAGTGGGTGAATTGGCAGCCCTCTCCGCAGCACCACCCTACACTGTTCACACCTCATAGGTTGGGGGCGGAGAATGGCCCTACCTTCTTACCAAAGATAAACTCAGAATTCCAAATAAATGAACCAATAGTTCTTCCAATTTTTTTTCCTAAGCCACATTCTTCTCAGCAACGTGCCTGGCTTCACATGTTAGATATGCGGCGAGTTTTAGCATTCTATATTGACCGGACACGACTTTTTCAGTTATCGCAATGACTACTACTTTCCATGGCCGATTGTTTGAAGGGCCAACCAATATCAGCACAATGCATATTGAAGATCATAGTCACCTGCATAGTGCGCTGCTATTCTTTACAGGGCAGACCACTCCCGCACATGGTCAGAGCCCATTCTACTAGGGCAATGGCCACCTCTAGAGCCTTTTTAAAGAGAGTTCCCCTTAGAGATATCCATCGTGCAGCAACATGGTCCTCTGGCTATACTTTTGCAAAACATTGCGCCCTCTTTTACATTGGAATCTGTGACACAGTAGGTGCCTCGGCGGTACTTTTTATCGCCTCAAGGTTCTAACTCCGAATCCTGCCTCCTTACATCGGGGCTACCGCTGTGAATCACCTACAGTAGAGCACCCACGGGGACACTGCTCAAAGAAGAGGAGGAAGTTACTCTCCTTGGTGCAGTAACAATGGTTCTTTGAGATGCGTGTCCTTTTGGGTGCTCTTCAATCTGCCCTCCTCCTCGCTTTGGAGTTTTCTCACTGTGTCTTTCAGATACTCGGCATTTAGAAGGAACTGGTGGGAGCTTTGGGGGGTTTATGAAGGCTTTTGCTGCGGGTGTGGGCTCTGGGATGGGGCTGGAGATGAGGCATTTGGGATGCAAGAGAGGGCTCCAGGCTGAGGCCAAGGGGTTTGGAATGCAGGAGTGGGCTCAGGGAAGGTGGCTGGGCTGCAGTTATGGGGTCTAGGCTAGAGAGGACTCAGGGTTGGGGTGTGACATGTTTGTGGTATTTGAGTAGAAGTAATTCCTATTGATGAGGTATTTTGAAAATTGTTTTTGTCTGCCTTGAATGTTCTTCAAATAGTCTCTTCCTCTGTATTTGTAAAATATGATTGAAAGTGTCAATAACTGTAACTAAGGTGTGTGAATAAACTGTAGTGAAATTGCCAGTGACAAACTTTCTCTAATTGAGTCTGATTACTTTAATCTTTATAGCTTTAGGAAGCTGAACTTAAGGTATCATTTCACCTACAAATACACCAGTTTTAGCCCAGATGATAAAGTTCTGGACAAGTTGTGAACGAAATGAAAATAGGGTCAGTCAGCTCTCAATGTGGCAAATGCCTCAACTGGAATTATGGCATTAGCTGTGATCATGAATAGGGATGTAAGTGACTAGTCTCTCTCTCTCTTCTCTACCACCCCCCCCCCCGCTGCCTCTATCAGAAAAAGGCAGCAAAGCGGGGGGGAGGGAAGGTGTTGGCTTAAAAGCCGGCTTTCTCCAGCTCTGCGGGAGGGGACTGGGGTGCAGTGGTACATTTCCATCTTTGAAATGTACAAGAGTTCCCACTGGGGCTCCTGTATGTTTCAAAGCAGAAGCTCCGCATGTGGCCTAAGCCAGTGGGGGACTCAGAGTTCCCCGCCAGCCCCAGGTTGTATGTGTCGTTTCAGTCTTTGAAATGCACAGGAGCCCCTGCTGGGGCTCTTATACATTTCAAAGGCAGACCGCGCTGCATGGCACTCTGCCTTTGAGATTTAGCAACAGCTGGGATGGCTCTTGCTACATTTCAAAGTGGAAGCACCTTTATTGACTAATTGAATAGTTGATGAAAATTCTGTTGACTATTTGATTAGTTGATTAATCTAATTTTAACAACCCTAATCATGAAGAGAGCCTCATGGGCTGCATAATTATGGGCATTGTGTCTGATGTGCAGCAAAATATTGGTGACTTGTTCAATGCAGGTTTTTGTTTCTGAAAAGACCTGAGACTGTATCTTTTAAAAGGATTCTTGAGCTAGTTTGCATTCTGTGAGAGTTAATAGTTCAGCTATACAAAGACATGGCTGTAGTGATCAGCAGAAATAATGCTTGCAGTATTTCTTTAAGCAGCTCTCCTTTCCTGTAAGGCAATGAGACTACCCCGTGAAGGGTCGAAGAGCCAAGAGTTGAAGGCCCTGTGATTCTGGTGTTAGCTTCCTCTCCTGGTGTTTATCAAGTGTACTGTTTAACTTGTGTGTCCTGAGGGGCAAGTCCTAGAAAGAAGTTCTCTCATGTTTTGTTCATGCTGTGCTAACTTGATTGTCTAGGTCATGGGTTCCCAAACTGGGGGGGGGGAGGGGCGCATGAAGAAATTCTAGGGGGAGGGAGTGAGGTGATTCAGCCCCCCAACAAACTCCCCCCTGGTCCATCCGTCCGCCCACTTGGGCTTGCTCGGGCAGATTAAAATGGCCACCTTAAAGGGGTAATGCCTGCTCTTAAATGCAATTTTTTTTCCCAACAAGTTTTGTTGCAATTCTTGTTTTTCGGCCCCGGTCAGTTCCTTTTTTTTTCCCCTCAAGTTTTGCTGCTATTTTTCTTGCGTGTGTGCGTGAGGGTTTCTCAAAAATCAAAAAGGGGGCATGATTCTGAAAAGTTTAAGAACCACTGGTTGAGGTCATTCTAAACAGCAGAAAATTTTCATTTGGTCCCACCTCAAACAATTAAGTTCACTGGGGCCCTGAGAGTCTGTACAAAGTTGTGTTTTTTGTCAACCATCTGATTCCATGTGATCTGCCGATTCTGTACGAAGCTACAGTCTTAACCCTCAACCAAAGGAGTATTCAAGTCTAAGGTTTATTTTCTTTTGAGTCTGTGGGATGAAAATCTTGCTTTCAAAAAAATCAGCTCTTCAGTGCTTTTAATTACTAAATTATATTCTAGTTATGATTAGTCATTAGTTATGATGTCCTTAAATGTTATGATTAATTTTAAACAATATATCTAGAGTTGTGTATTCAGATCATATCTAGTGGTCTTTTTATCTACTCTAGGTATTCTATTTTTTTAATATTGGATGCTTTGGTTAATGTTCTTGTCTGGGTTAGTTTTCACCTACTAGTGAATAATCATTATTCTGTGCAGAAGCTCAAATACCACTGTCAACTCGAAGCAGAATAATGTGGATCGATACGTAAGCCTGCATTGAAAACTTGATTTGTTATGGTAATATACCATTGCATTGTGTTTAAAACAACAACAAAAAACCCTAAATCACTGATCAAGTGGCTGCTGCATTTGTTACTAATTAAGATATGGTAAAAATGGCAAAATTATCTTTTTAGTATCTGAATGGAGACTTGCATTTGATGCATATCCAGAGGGATTAATTTAAATGCAAGCAAGACCTTGATACTGTTAATGAATCCAATTTTTACTGTGAAATTTCATGGGATTCCTGACTTACGTGTGCTGTCTAAAAGGTTTTTCACATAAATTAGTTATAAAATGATGGACAATTGTAGGTAAAATTGCCACAGAGTGAGTGGAGAAAACCACTCAGTTTTTCCCTGGATGATTTATAACTAGACATTGCTAACAGAGACAAATGGCTTTGCTTAATATGTAGCAGTCAATCTTATTTCTCTTAGCACTATGTTAGAACAGTGCAGAAATTCAAATCTCCTTGTTATGTGGAATTTTTAAAAGAAATTGCCAGTTAATACTTATTTTTGTTTTAGGTCCAAGATGGGCTTCTTGGAATACTGGTGTTTTTATTTGCATCAGATGTGCTGGAATACATCGAAATCTTGGGGTTCATATATCAAGGGTAAAGTCTGTCAATTTGGACCAGTGGACACCAGAACAAATACAGGTAAAATATCTCTTGTAAATGAGATTTTTGAACTGGAAGGTCAGGTGTAAAAAGCTACACTAAGTCATGAAGGGGGGGAGGGTGTCCTAATTTTGCTTGCCTGATATATGGGAATCAAGAATAAGTGATCTTTTTTACAGTCCTATTGAAAACTCAGTATAGGTAATTACTCTAGTTTCAAGTAATTATCTATACTGGATGGGTAATTTCAAAATAAATAAGATTAATATCTAGCATATTTTATGTGCATCACAAATCATGTATTTATAATGCCACGCTCATCTAGATTTTGTAAGAAAAATAATATTCATATATATCCATATTGTAATGAAAATGTGGGGGGGATGAATATTTCATGCATTGAAAAAAACTTTGATTTTTCAAATGAGTCCTTTTCAAATTCACTCTATTTCTAAATAATGGTCAACTTGAGCAATTACACCTTGGAATCCCACTGCCAGATCCAATTTTATATGTGTCTTCCATTGTGCTGTGTGTCAAACTTAGGCAAATGGGAAACTAAAGTACATGGGGTTTTAAAATTGCAGTAAAATGTGTGAAATAAAGAAGCTGACTGATACAGTTCATGTGGCCTCTGTGTAGGGATGTAAGCGAGTAGTCGAGCAGTTAATGACTACCCGATAAGCCTAGGCTTATCAACTACCCACATTCCCCCACTCCGCTGCCTATGTATCTGAGGCAGCAAGGGGGGAGGGGTGGAGCAGGAGCTGGTGCTGGGGAGAGCAGGCTTAAAAGCTGGTTCCCCCCAGCACTTTCTCCGCAGTACCACCTTCTCCCCCCACCCCCATGCTGCTGCCTCTAAATGTTTGACTACACAATTAGTGAAATACCTGCTTCTTAATCCCTACCTCTGTGCATTCCTACACTTGGGCTGTGCTTGTGGTTCATCTCTGGTGGAATGCTTCCTAGCAGTGCCCCTTCCTGTCCCATCTCTCACTGTTTCCATAACAGAGGGTCTCAGACAGCGTTCCCTCTAAGCTGTGGGCTTGATTAATCACTTGTGAAGCTGTGCTGCCGCACATCTTAGAGGGAACACTGGTCCTAGATTACAGAAGTTGAGCTGGCAATCAGAATCAAGTTGTTCATGTCTTGGGAGTGAAATGGAACAGAGGTAGCAATGTAATCTCTCTCTGTCCCTATATGGATCCTCTGTCCATTGAGTAGGTCACATCTGATGAAGCAGTGAAGCTAGAAATCTCAGCAAACTTAAAATTGAGAAGGGGAAGAGCTGTTTCCAATGACCCGTAGTTTTGGTACAGGAAAAGGACAGTTCTAAGGACATTAAACTATACTCCATGGCTTTTTGTCCTTTCCTTGGAGGGGAAAACAGGAACAAGAATGACTGTTCCTCTTTACAGGCAGTCCCCAGGTTACGTACAAGATAGGGACTGTAGGTTTGTTCTTAAGTTGAATCTGTATGTAAGTCGGAACTGGCGTCCAGATTCAGCCGCTGCTGAAACTGACTGCCAGTTCTGACTTACATACAGATTCAACTTAAGAACCCCAAGCGTCCCCAAGTCAGCTGCTGCTGAAACTGATCAGCGGCTGATTCCAGGAAGACCGGGGCAGAGCAACTCTGCCTCGGGATTCCT